ATAAAACCTTATAGACAAGTGTATGCAATCTTAATCAGTTTGACTACAAAGTAAGATTTTCACAAACCTTTTATAACCCTTTACATATTTTTGGGTTTTTTTCTTTTTCTTTAATTTTTAAATATTTTTGTTAAAGAGCAAATCATAGCTGGTTTTTACTCTTAAAAAAACTTGTGGCTGGGCACGGTGGATCACGAGGTCAAGAGATCGAGACCATCCTGGTCAACATGATGAAACCCCATCTTTACTAAAAATACAAAAAAGTAGCTGGGCATGGTGGTGCGTGCCTGTAATCCCAGCTACTCAGGAGGCTGAGGCAGGAGAATTGCCTGAACCCAGGAGGCGGAGGTTGCGGTGAGCTGAGATCGCGCCATTGCACTCCAGCCTGGGTAACAAGAGCAAAACTCTGTCTCAAAAAAAAAAAACAAAAAACAAAAAACAAAACTTGTGCTTTTTATGTTTAATTTATAGAAAAACTGAATACCCCTTTAACTTTAGCCAATATATTCACACAGAGAATCTCCTACAATTAATTTTTCACAGACTTTCCACAACTTGCTTAAACCTTCAGCTTCATTCTATCTAACTTAAAATAATAATGTAACCATTTAATTGAAGAAAGAAAATTTACATTTCCATGACTTCTAATAATCTTTTACCAAAACACATTTCATTTTCCTTACCCACCTTATGTGTAGAACTCTTTCTCAGTATTTCAATTACGTTACAATGTTAACATTTAGTGATTTTTTACTTTTGGTGAAGACCCTGGTTTGTAAGCATTTTAATTATGTACTAGGTGTGGAGCCTAGGACACAGACAGAAATGCAGATAAGGTCTGACTTTTTCCAGCATTGCTAGTGGGTATGGGTAACACCACATGTCCCCAGGCCTTATCTAGAATCTAATGTCGTCAAAGTAGGTAAATTGAGCAATTTTCTAAAGTAAAAGAAGAAGCTTATGACCATAAAGCATTTGGCAAACCTAGTATCTCACCTGCATAATTTCGACCAAATGTTTAAATTTTAAAGATATTTTAATTTTACCAATAATCTTTAAAACTGTAATTTCCCAAAGATTACTTAAGTCAGATGAACAAAATAAAAGGCATTATACATTTAATTTTTCTCACAAAAATATGACTTAAGGACTTACTGTTTTTAACCAATTAATCAAAGCTCTTTTATATATAAACATCACACACATCATACATCTAAATACTCATACAGATAAAAGATAAAGGACTTATCTCCTAAGATGAGAATTAAACCCTGAACCCGGGCCACCACTATGAAAGAGAAAGCACAGCCACATGGTTACAAGGTCAAGCTCCCAAGGACATACCAGACAAGAGGGAAACCTCATCTTTTTTTTTTTTTTTTTTTTTGAGGACTTGCAGCAAAGTTTGTAATTGACCAGTTTGCTGGTCAATCTTGAACAGCAGGCTTATAGGTGTCCTAAGCCCATGTTCTATCCTAAGGTACCCTTCTTTATGACAGAACAATACAGAATGACACACAAAACACTCCAGATTGGCTACAGCTTAAGACTAGTCTCTCAAATCCTTTCTTCCATTAATCAAAACTTTGTACGAAATAGTGATTTTTGCTATTCCTACAACCAGTTTGCACAGAGAAATGAAAGTATTGTCTGAGGCAGGGTGGGGAAGAGGAGGCCCTCAGGGAAGCCAGAGAAAGGCCCACCCATTGCAGTGACAGCGAAAAGTTCAGTCGGCTGCTTCTTGATAGTGAAGGGATATTTTCCAGCAGTCCCATCAGTCTCGAGTTTCCCCTTTATGGAAGGAAAAATCTCCTCATGTCCCTTGATTCCGTACATGCCTAACCCTGTCGCCCACAGCTGTCAGCAAGGAGTACAAGGCAGATTATTTCAAGGAGAACAGAAGTTAACATCCCGTAGTGCCAAACCTGTTCTTAGCCGAAAGGGACTTTACTGAGAGGGTTTTTTCACCCCCTAAATCTTAGAAGGGACTCTAATCCTCCTAAGTTGGGCCTCTAACCCAATCCCATTCCTTATCTGGGTATCCTGTCACTTACCCAAAGTTATCCGGTCAGTGCTGCAGCCTACCTCCTTTGAGTCAGGGGTCTCCTCAGTATCGTCCCTCTAGGGTTCACCTGCTTACAAACCAGGGTCTTCACCAAAAGTAAAAATCACCAGAAAGATGTTACCAGACCCCACCACTTACCTGGGTCGGGGGTTTTCACAGTATAGTCCATTCTGTAGTCGCCAGAAAGATATTACAGGACGCACCACTTACTGGGGGCTTATGCACTATAATCCCATCTGGGTCACCAGAAAGATATTACAGGAAAGGAATCCGGAATCAGACCCCAAGAGAGGGTTCTTGGATCTGGCACGAGAAAGAATTCAGGGCAAGTCCATAGAGGAAGCAAGTCTATTAAGAAAGTTAAGGAATAAAAGAATGACTACTCCATAGACCGAGTAACCCCCCAAGGGCTGCTGGTTGCCCATTTTTATGGTTAGTTCTTGATGATACGCTAAACAAGGGGTGGATTATTCATGCCTCCCCTTTTCAGACCATTATAGGGTAACTTCCTGACTATGCGATGGCATCTGTAAACTCTTATGGTGCTGGTGTGAGTGTAGCAGTGAGGATGACAAGAGGTCATTCCTGTCACTGTCTTGGTTTTGGTGGGTTTTAGCCAGCTTCTTTATTGCAACCTATTTTATCAGCAAAGTTTTTATGACATGTATTTTGTACCAGCCTCCTATCTCATCCTGTGACTTAGAATGCCTTAACTGTCTGGGATTGCAACCCAGTATGTTTCAGCCTTACTTTACCCAGTCTGTACTCAATTTGGAGTCACTCTGGTTCACACATCTCTGACAACTTGATTTATTTGCCTCTTTTATCAGCTTTTGCTTGTGCACACAGTTGCCTCTTCCATTTAAATCTTAGTACAGTGGTTCTCAAAGTGTGTATGGGGACTGACACTTTCAGAGAGTTGGCTAGGTTAAAACTGTTTTCATAATAATCCTAATGCAATATTTGCTCTTTTCACTTCGTTCTCTTGTGAGTATGTCAGGGAAATATAATTTTTTCCCATGAAAATGTGTTACCACCTAATGGTTTTATTGTTGATGTCTTAAATGAGTTGATAACTATTTTTAAAATTAGTTTTCATTTACAAAATGGTAAATATTGAAAGCTAAAATCCACATGAACAAAAGCAATTTTGGGATCTTCAATAGTTTTTAGGTGTATAAAAAGTTCTTGAGATGAAAGTTTGAAAACTGTTGCCCTTGTCTATCTGCCAAGTACAGGAACTCCTATTTACCACATTTGTTACCAGAGGATTAGACAATGAATTGGAGTTAGTCTTCTTTGAGTGATAACTTGTCTTAATTGCAAAAATCACCTACTTCAAGATAAACTATAGCTTTTGGCCAGAATGTCATTTAGAAATGCAGCAAGTGTTAATACAGGATTTCGATTTGTTTTTCTTGGTGATGTTTAATGAAAACAAACACAATCCTAGTAAAAGGAGACGCGTAAGGGTGGAAAGGATTTGGAACAGCGTCTAGCATAAGAGTAAACCCTTAACACAGGTAGTGATTATTATTACCCTTTCACAGTCGCTATTCATTTATTTATTTATTCAAGTATTTATTCAGTACTATATGCCAGGCTCAATGGTCTGTATTGGAGATTCAGTAATGGGCAAAACACAAACAATTCTGCCTTCAAGGACTTTACAGTCAAGTGGGAGAGGCAGTTGAATCATGACATAAAAATTATAATTCCAAATTGTGGTAAGCAAACGAAGTGATAGACGTGTAAGTAGACGAAGATTTGACCTGATTTTCAGAGTCAGTAAAAGCTTCTCTGAAGTCCCACTTGAGCTGCAATTTGAAAAATGGGCAGGAGGAATTGAGACACAAAAGAAAGAGTAGCATGCTGAGCATGTTTAAACACACTCCAGTAGAAAGAGAATGATGGCGCCAATGCGGCTGAAACCTAAAGAGTCAGGGCCAGAGTGGTAACTGTTTAATGGCAAAAACCACAACTACTTTGCACCAACCTAATAGTAGTAGGTTAGAGCCCAAGCCATTGGGGGATTTTTAAGGCTTTGCCAAGAATTTTAGACTTTCATCACATGATCAATGGGGAGCCATGGAAAGCTTTAGGAAAAGTGTGACAACCTTAGATTTGTGCTTTCAAAAGATCACTTGTACTGGTGTGTAGTGCAGGGGTGACAAGCAGGGAGACTATTTACAGGGCTATGGCAGTATCCCAGTGAAAGATGGTGGGAGCCTGGAACAGGGTAATGGCATTAGAGACACAAAGAAGTGGATGAATTTGGGACGTATAATATTTCGGAAGGAGGCCACAGGGTCTGGTGATTAATCGAAACTTTAGCAGAAGAATCACACAAAGTTGAAGACCCTCCCTGGCCAAATCAGCTAATGAGTTATTGATAAGTTGCAAAATCTTCCCCATTCTCCCTTGGCAAAGATTCAAAAGCCCAAACACAGTACTCAGTCCACACCAGGAGCGTGCACAAGGCCGTGCCCAAGACTTTATTCCCTGGACATCAGTGGCATTGAAGCGCAAGGTTTCCTGGGCAACGCCATTGTCACAGCTCCAAGCAGGCGGGGTTGATAGCTAAGGACAACGGCCAGAAGAGAACTCCGGAAGAGAGGGAGAGTCAGAGCAGGGGGGAAAATGCACAACACGCGCCGCGGCTCCCGCCATTGCCATTGCGGGTGATTCGAGGACTCAGCACCAGGCGAGAGTAGGGCCCGGGAGGAGCCAGAAAAACCTGCCTGTGATTGGCCATCCGGGGGTATCTGTCGTTTGTGATTGGGTGGAGACAGAGAGCTGCGTTTTGAACCGCGTAGGGTTCTGGGTAGCAAAGGCCTTCGAAGGGTCTTAACCGAAAGGGGGAGTGGGAAGGTCGCCAACAAACGGCTGAGCTCACAATCCCGGCCGGGGGTAGGCCGGGGCGTCCCCCTCCCCCATGGAGAGGGCCAGGCCGGAGCCGCTGCCTCATCCGCGCCAACTGCCGCGGGTTCCTCCACCTCGCCCGTTGCGTCCCGCTCCACCCCCGCTGCCGGTCGAGGGCGCCTCCTTTTGGGCAGCGGCCGGGGAACCCCCTCCGTCGCCGCCCACACCAGGCGCGGCCGCCATTGCGACACTGGCTTCCTCGTGCGGGGAGGCCGCCTCGTCCGGCTTACAGTCAGCGGCGCGGCGGCTGGTGCAGGTGAACCCGGAGCAGGTGTTGCTGTTACCGCAGCCTCAGGCTGGGGACGAAGACGCCTCTGCCTCGCCCGCGCAGGCGCGGCTGCTGCAGTTCAGGCCCGACCTGCTGCTCCTGCCGTCGCCGGCCGCGTCCGAGGGCGCCCCCTTCAGGCCCGACTTGCACCCGGTGCAGCCGCGGGTGCTGCATGTCAAGGCCGAGAAGCAGGAGCTGGGGCCTGGCCTGGACCCGTCCGTGGGGCCTCAGGGGGCGGTGGAGACCGGCCCGAGAGCCTCCAGGGCAGTCAAGGTGGAAGGCCCCGGGCCCGCCCTCGACTACTTCCGAGGGAACGAGAAGGGCAAGCTGGAGGCGGAGGAGGTCATGCGGGACGCGATGCAAGGCGGGGAAGGCAAAAGCCCGGCGGCCACCCTAGAAGGAGGGATCAAAACCGAGGAACCCGAGAGACTCCTGGAGGACTGCAGGCTCCGCGCCGAGCCCGCGTCCAATGGCCTGGTTCACGGCAGCGCAGAGGTCATCCTGGCCCCGCCGTCCGGTGCCTTTGGGCCGCACCAGCAAGACCTCAGGATCCCTTTGACTCTCCACACCGTTTCCCCTGGGGCCCGGATCCAGTTTCAGGGAGCTCCGCCTTCAGAGCTCATAAGATTGACCAAGGTCCCCCTGACACCAGTGCCTATTAAAATGCAGTCCCTACTGGAGCCTTCCGTAAAAATTGAAACCAAAGATGTCCCGCTCACCGTGTTGCCCTCAGATGCAGGTATTAGACAGCAGGGAAGTCTGGTTTTGAAAACTGCACCTGTGTTGCCCCGTAGCTGATCATGTCAGCCGTTCCCAAGTCTAAAATAGAAAAGTAAAGCCATGGAACTGATTGTTTTCAGGGCAGAGTCTGTACAGGTGTCACTTCTGATCGGCTTGTACATATAGCAGTAAAATAGACAAACACCTTCAAGATTCTCAAGTATTTTTTTAAAAATCTATTTTAAGGCCCATTTAGATAGGACTAAGTTTTGTACACAAAAATAGAAGTATTCTTGCTAGACAACACAGAGCCCTCAGTTTATATGCTACAAATAAGATTAAACATATTGTATTATAGTAGCTCAGTACTTTCCTGGGTTTAAGCAATTCTCCTGCCTCAGCCTCCTGAGTAGCTGGGATTACAGGCGTGCGCCACCATGCCCAGCTAATTTTTTTTTTTTTTTTTTTTTTTTTTTTTTTTTTTTGTATTTTTAGCAGAGACGAGGTTTCACCAATGTTGTCCAGGATGGTCTCGATCTCTTGACCTCGTGATCCACCCGCCTTGGCCTCCCAAAGTGCTGGGATTATAGGCTTGAGCCACAGCACCCGGCCCATTAGTTCAGTACTTTTATATGTTATCAAGATATAGAAGAAATAATGATGTTTAATGAAAAAAGTGATTATAATTAACTGGAAAGTTTATACCAGTTATAGAGGCTGTCTTTAAAAATGAACAATCATCATTCTTCTAGCAGAAAACAATACGCGATTCAATGTAATATTTTAGTGTTTATTCCTCTGAAAGGTAAGGACTTATAGAAATATTGAAAAGAATACGGTAGAATGAGCTATAAAAATTGTTTTTAAATAAATGACCAGTTGTAGCAGTAACAAGTACCAATAGACGTTTTTATTTCTATCCAGTATTTCCAAATATATTGTTAGTAAATTCTTATTTTAAGATTTAGTTCACACAGGACGTTTTGCCAGTACACATCTTGGAAAGTCATATTAATCTTTGGTTCATATTTTCATTAACTTTGGCTTTTTTTGTTGTTGTTTTTGCTTTTTTTTTTTTTTTTTTTTTTTTGAGACGGATTTTCACTCTTGTTACCCAGGCTGGAGTGCAATGGCACAATCTCAGCTAACCGCAACCTCCGCCTCCTGGGTTCAAGCAATTCTCCTGCCTCAGTCTCCCGGGTAGCTGGGACTACAGGTGTGTGCCACCATGCCCAGCTGATTTTTGTATTTTTAGTAGAGACAGGGTTTCACCATGTTGACCAAGATGGTCTCAATCTCTTGACCTCGTGATCCACCCGCCTTGGCCTCCCAAAGTGCTGGGATTATAGGCGTCAGCCACTGCGCCTGGCCTAACTTTGTTTTTTAAAAATTTTATTTGTTGATTATTCTCCTCCACTCTACCCTGTTGCGTTTATCTTTAGTATTTTTTAGACTTTATTTTCATTTTCTAAGGGAAAGAAAGGGAAAGCTTACTTTATACTACGTATTTCATCCTCAGTGTTTTAAAGAAATTTTTTATTTTTTATTTTTATTTATTTTTTTGAGACGGAGTTTCACTCTTGTTACCCAGGCTGGAGTGCAATGGCGCGATCTCGGCTCACTGCAACCTCCGCCTCCTGGGTTCAGGCAATTCTCCTGCCTCAGCCTCCTGAGTAGCTGGGATTACAGGCACGTGCCACCATGCCCAGCTAATTTTTTGTATTTTTTTTTTTTAGTAGAGACAGGGTTTCACCATGTTAACCAGGATGGTCTCGATCTCTTGACCTTGTGATCCACCCGCCTCGGCCTCCCAAAGTGCTGGGATTACAGGCTTGAGCCACCGCGCCCGGCCAGAAATTTTTTATATTAAGTAATCCTAAAATAATAAATGTATGGACAGTTATTTTTGATAAACTACATGAGAGATGAATTTAGATAACTTCCTTTGTTGAAATTTCAACTGGCTCTATGATTTTTTTTTTTTTTTAATTTTATCTTATCAAAGAGAGATGCTGGTCTTGAACTCCTGGGCTGAAGCACTCCTCTGCCTCAGCCTCCCAAAATACTGGGATTACAGGTGTGAGCCATTGCGCCTGCCTTCGGTGACTTTCAAAAAATTATTAGTATTATTTTGAGATGGAGTCTCATCTCTTGTCCAGGTTGGAGTGCAGTGGCGTAATCTCAGCTCACTGCAACCTCCGCCTCCCAGGTTGAAGCAGTTCTCATGCCTTTGTCTCACGAGTAGCTGGGACTACAGGCATGAACCACCATACATGGCTAATTTTTGTATTTTTAACAGAGATAGGGTTCCATCATGTCGGCCAGGCTGGTCTCCAACTCCTTACCTCAGGTGATCCACCTGCTTTGGCCTCACAGAGTGCTGGGATTATAGGTATGAGCCACCGTACCAGGCCCAAAAATTATTTTTATTATTTTCTCTAATTTTTCTCCCAGGACACAGGACTAGTGTTGTTGATTCAATGTGGTAGGAGCTTCACCTTCATAGTAAAATACAAGTAATATAGTATTATAAATATTTTTGCTGGAAAGGACACTAGAGCAGCATGTAGATGAGTTGCTGTGAACATTTATAGAGAACCTCTCTACCTAGCTAAGAGTATAGTCATGAGTAAGTCACGCATTTTTCCTGTTCTTTAATGATAAAATATTTTTATTGGGAAATGAACCAAATGTTAATTATTGTTAGAGGTATTAATAATACAGATCAAAGAAGTAATAAGCCAGCAATTTACTGTCTTCAACATGATTATTTCCTCAATATCTTAAACAATATTATTCTCTTTGAGGAAAAGAAGTCATACTAAAGTACGGTTCAGAATGGCAAGTTCAGGAGTTGTAAGGAATGTTGGAATACTGGCAGGTTTTTTTGGTTATAGAAGTATATATTTTCTCCAGATATTTCAAAAATAAGTGTAGGTGGAGGCATACTTCACCTTAAAATTGTGTGTGTATGTCACATTAATTTAGTCTCTTAATTTTTGCCATGTAGGCATACCAGATACTCCCTTCAGTAAGGACAGAAATGGTCATGTGAAGCGACCCATGAATGCATTTATGGTTTGGGCAAGGATCCACCGACCAGCACTAGCCAAAGCCAACCCAGCAGCCAACAATGCAGAAATCAGTGTCCAGCTCGGGTTAGAGTGGAACAAACTTAGTGAAGAACAAAAGAAACCCTATTACGATGAAGCACAAAAGATTAAAGAAAAGCACAGAGAGGAATTTCCTGGTAATCAAATGAAATAATGCCTCTTCTTTTAAATGAATTTATTTAGTTAAAGATTAGGTTAGGTTGAGATTGAAAGACAAAAATGTATAGTTTTTTTTGAATATGGACAATAAAGGGAATAATGAATATTATAACAATGATTGAAATGACACTGGGCATGAGTTTCCTTAAACAGAACTAAGCAAAGGGATATCTGATTTCATATTCACCAACCCATACAAATCAGAAGACATGCAGGTTTTTTTGTGGTTTGACTTAGATAGATATAAATTTAATGCAAGTACATCTCCAAAGTTTTAGGCTATAATTTTTCAAGTAAACTATAGAAGTGTTAAAATGATCACAACAGAAAAAAAAATGCAGTACATACTTAAGGAGAATGAGGGCTTATTACCATATTCCATTTTAACATATGCTTGTCGGAACATAGTCCTGCCTTCTGATTGATAGATTTAGCCCCATCATGATATAGTGTGAAATGAGTCTGATTTCTCCCCAGCAGTGAGAACATTGGGATTAGGTTTGGGAAAATGCGCTGTGTATGGCCAGCATAACTATGCAAGGTGGAACAAAAATTTTTTTCTGAAATATTGGCAGAGAGGTTCTAGGAACGACAGTCAGAGGCAGCAACTATCGGGAACCAGTGATTGTTCTGGTTACACAGGGGCTGCAAATGCCATAGTTCCACTGTTCTGACTTTGTAAGAAATTGAGTTATTTGTGGACTTGAAGATTGCTGAGTCTAGGAGAGTGACTCTTCTTGAACTAGGCATAAAAATAGTGACTGATCATTAGTGACTATTGCATTGTAAGATATATTCAATTGTATATTACAGAAAGTGAGGAAACAGGAGATGAATAATGTCATAGTGAGGCATTGATAAGGTAGAGGAAAAGCTTTGGGATTCAAATATAGTGGTTTTGATGTTGACTCTATTACAGATTCATTCTGTGTCATTGGTTATAAAACATTTGACCCTCTTCCTTTCAATTAGGAGTTATAACACTGGCCACTAGTCAGGAGCTATTTGGATATGTATGTTAAAATATACAGTGGAGCAGTCATTTACTGAAATAGTATCCAGGAGTTGGAAAAGATACTTTAGACAGTAATTTATTTTTAAAAACTTTAAAGTGCTTTGCATTTTAATATGAAAAAAAAAATTTAAAGGCTAGAGTCTATACATTTAAATGTATTCTATCTTCTATAGGTTGGGTTTATCAGCCTCGTCCAGGGAAGCGAAAACGCTTCCCTCTAAGTGTTTCCAATGTATTTTCTGGTACCACACAGAATATCATCACTACAAATCCTACAACAGTTTATCCTTACCGCTCACCTACGTACTCTGTGGTAATTCCCAGCCTACAGAATCCCATCACTCATCCAGTTGGTGAGTTAGTTTTATTGTAGATGACTATTTTTTAAATAGCTGCATGAAAATTTTACCGCAAGTTGAAGTTTTCTTTCTGTTAGTCTTAAGAATTTGGAACAACAATATTAAGAAAAAAATCAAGAAGAGGGAAAGAGAACATTGAATAGGAGAAAAAAAATTTCAGTAGACATCAAAACACTTCGTTTGTCAGAGTAGCAAATAATCCATGTGTAAAACCTCAGACCTTTTAGGGAAATCAGGATAAGCCCATAGATTAGGCAGATAATGCAGTAAATGACTGAGGTAATTCAATAGGAAAAAGGAGAATCTTTTCACTATCTGTATAAAAGAATGCTTTGCTAAGGGGTATGAGGCATCCTGTCCTGGAACTTAGTAATGATGCTGATTTGTTGAGAGCATTCTCTGCTGCTCTAGAAAAGCAATGGAAGTAATCTATTTTCTACCAAATATTTGTTTGGCTCATTATATTAATCTAAATGTCTCCTCTGAGTTCTTTACATTCTTCTTGTTGATTTTAAAAACCAAAAATTGAGAACCTAATATCTTAATAACTTGTTATAGGGCTATCCATCATTGGTTTGTTTTTCCAGAACATATTTTAACCATCTTTTAAGGAGAGCTTTATACATTCACTACTTCCTATAACTTTTTGTTTGTTTGTTTTTGAGACAGGATCTCACTCTGTCACCCAGGCTGTAGTGCAGTGGCTGGATCACAGATGACTGCAGCCTTGCCCTCCTGGGCTCAAGGATTCTCCCACTTCAGGCTCCCTAGTTGCTGGAGCTACAGGTGCATACCAACATGCCCAGCTAATTTTTTGTATTTTTTTTATAGAGACAGAGTTTTGCAATGTTACCCATGCTGGTGTCAAATCCTAGGCTCAAGTGATCCACCTGCCTCGACCTCCCAAAGTGCTGGGATTATAAGTGTGAGCCACCACCCCCAGTCCACTTTCTTAAAACTGCTAAGACTGCTTAAACATACTGCTTTTTCTAGGTTTTTTGTTGTTGTTGTTTTTGTTTTTTCTTAAAACCTTCTAGTAATGAAGCCACCCCTATGAGTTGAAAGTTTTAGATATCTTGGAAACTGAGTTATTAGAATCGTAGGCATTTTCAGTTTTTTAAAAAATGTATCGTTTTAGCAATTGATAGCAACAAGCTACATTCCAGATGTTTAGATTCAGGAGAGCGATACAGAGAGCTGATCCTGTAGCCCTGTTCTCTCCTAGCACAGTCAAGCACTCTCAGCCTTCACTATTTGGCAGTGACTTATTTAATCTTGTATTTCAACCCAGTCTTAAGTATAACTTTGTCCGCGTTCCTTGCTTTTCTGATATGTTATTTGTTTATTTATTTATTTATTTAGAGGCAGAGTGTTGCTCAGGTTGAAGTGTAGTGGTGCAATCTTCGCTCACTGCAGCCTCTGCCTCCTGGGTTCAAGCAATTCTCCCACCTCAGCCTCCAAGTAGCTGGGACTACAGGTGCATGCCACCATGCCCATCTAATTTTTGTATTTTTAGTCGAGACAGGGTTCCACCATGTTAGCCAGGCTCATCTTGAACTCCTGGCCTCAAGTGATCCACCCATCTTGGCCTCCCAAAGTGTTGAGATTACAGGCGTGAGCCACCATGCCCAGCTTGTGTTATATTACGATTTCTGTTTTCATAATATAAGTTTCTTATTTTTGTCCCTTTTTCCAAGACCTCACTTACATCTGCTTCTACCCACTGTTAAATGCTGTATATTTTCCCAGAAACAGAATTAACAATGTTCTTATTTAAAGCAACTGACATTTGATATATTTTATATCATTCTGAGCAAAGATAAGGACTGAGTAAAAACTGGAAGATTGCTTCTAATGTTGATAGAGTGCTTTCTCCATGATGTTGTATTTAAGTATGGTAGGCAGAATTATAGGAAGCATTTCAGAGCTATACACAACAGTAATCAAATCTAAGACAAGAATGGTTTTCTTGTTTGTGCTTAGTTTTTTGCAATATTCCTTATTTCTAATGATATATAGTGTCAGTAAAGATTCATTTCTTGGGTCAGTTGTAGTGACTTATACCTGTAATCCTAACACTTTGGGAGGCCAAGGTGGGAGGATCATCTGAGCCTAGGAGTTCGAGACCAGCTTGGGCAACATAGCAAGACCCTGTCTCTAAAAAGAAAAAAACAATTATTTCTTGCATCTAAAAAGATAAACAGAGAACATTATCTTATAAGCATAATTTAGGAATTATTAAGATATACATCTTAATAATAAATGGTGAAATTTATCTGCTATTTTGTTCCTCAATCATACAGCTTTGAAATATGTTCTTATAGATTGTTCTCATCAACTTGGCATTATATTACATAGAGGAGTTAGTATCACTTGCAAATTTGGAAATTTTACTGTATATTTAATATTCTAAATTATTTGTGAGACTTTAAGTTAGAACAGATTATAGCACACATCTCTTAGGGAATCATAATTTTAATATCTTGTCGTGCAGATGCTAATTTGTACACTTTTTTGTTTGTTTCAAGTAATTTCATATTCTAAGTATGAAGTTATGGTAATTTTGTTTTTCAAGCATGTTTGCTTTATTCCCATGAAAGATATCAAGATAGTGAGGTACATGATTTTTCTTATATAGAAACAATTTGCTCTATTTTTTTGTAGTAAGCTTTGTGCATTAATATCATACTGTATAGATTTCACCACCATTTCAGGTGTAGATAATAGACTCACCAAGCTAGAGTTCTCAAGATCACCAGTTTCAATAGCTGGAGGTTATGTTGACTTTCTAAAAATCTCTGGCAGAGGACATTTGTACCTACTTTGTCTAAAATTTTCTCAGTTCTACCCTTGAGGGTTTTTAAAAAACACTTATATTTTATGTTTTTGAGATGAAATCTCACTTTGTCACCCGTGCTGGAGTGCAATGGCGTGATCTCAGCTCACTTCAACCTCTGCCTCCCGGGTTCGAGTGATTTTCCTGTCTCAGCCTCCCGAGTACCTGGGATTACAGGCATATGCCACCACATCTGGCTAATTTTTGTATTTTTAGCAGAGATGGGTTTCATCATGTTAGTCAGGCTAGTTTTTCAAACACCTGACCTCAGGTGATCGGCCCGCCTTGGCCTCCCAAAGTGCTGAGATTACAGGTGTGAGCCGCCATGCTGGAACAGAGGTGTTTGTTTGAGACCAAGTCTTGTGCTGTTGCCAGGCATAATCTCAGCTCACCGCAACCTCTGACTCCCTGGTTCAAGTGATCCTTCTGCCTCAGCCTCCTGAGTAGCGGGATTGCAGGCTACTTCCCTTCCCCTCCCCTCCCCTCCCCTTCCCTTCCCTCCCCTCCCCTTCTTTCCCTTCCCTTCCCAAGGACGGTTATATGCATAATTCATGGAGTAGGTGAGCATCACTGCATATGCAGGGTGGAGGGCAGGGTGTGCAGACATAGTAAGGAATCATGCTAACTCTTATGTTGATCATGATCAGAAAATTTCTCTGGGTGGAGATTTTAGTATTTCAGTCCTAGAGATTTTAGTATTACAATCCTAGGTGGGTATGGTATCAGTCGTGGTGGTGCTACAAGCTCTGGTGGTGGACATGTGTGGAAAAATACATAAGTGAAGGTGAGCTGAATGCCCCCACCCCACCTTATCTCACTTATAACACGGTAGTCTGGAATTCTTTTCAGATCTTTGATTACATGTCATTGATGCCAGTAATGCCAGCATTCTCATTTTATGTGAGTCTTCCTATTCATTTAAAGGTTTTGGAACTTTTATAAAAGCTGTATTCATTCATACTTTTCTTAACTATTTTTTATTAACCAGGATATGAATAGGAAATTTAAAGTTCCTGCTCTTTATTTTTCTTTTCTTTTTTTTTTTTTTTAATTTTTCTTCTTTTTTTTTAAGATGGGGTTTCACCATGTTGGCCAGGCTGGTCTTAGACTCCTGACCTCAAGTGATCCACCCACCTTGGCCACCCAAAGTGCTAGGATTACAGGTGTGAGTCACCATACCCGGTGAGAGTTCCTGCTCTTAAGCTTCAGTTTAATGACCATGGTCAGGGTGGCAGACAGGCAAATAATCACAAAGTTTTATACTATTTCATGATAGGTGATAGGTTTACAAGGTTTAGAGGGAATGTGGACAAAGGAAATTAACTGGTGCTTGTTGAATCAGGAGAGGCGACAGTAGGGTCTGTGCCTGACAGATAGGAGGACTATTCTATATAACCCTATCAGCTGAGAATCAGGGCAGCTTCATTACTTCCTATTCCTCTACTTCACTGGGTCAGAGGCCATCTTCAAACAGGTGGCTATGTCCGTTAATTCCCTACTTCCTGCTTTAAGAGGGACATTATCTGCTTTATCTCGAGGAAAGGAAGGAGAGGGACGTCTTACCTGGATGAGGCTGGAGAAAGGTCTACTTTCTTTCAGTCTCTGACGGAGACATGTTCAACCACAGAATCTTCTTGGACTCCATATTCTTTATTAACAGACTCCAAACTGTATTGCAGTACACTAGATTATGACTCTCTTGCTATGGCATCTATCTGTATTTCTACAAGAAAGTTGAATTAAATTTAGGCTAGGTATGTCATTTGGGTAACTTAATAGCTCAATCAGTAGACCTGTCTTCAGGAACAGGAAGCTAAAACACATAATTGTTTCACTTACCTTTAAAAATTCTGCCATATCTTTCATGCTCTGGTGCAACAGTATTTCTTTTAAATCTATCACAAATGGTTGACTTGTGGCAAGCCTTGTTCTCACTTGAAAATTTCCTTTCATGTTCACATTGAATACAATAGAGTGAAATAATTTTAGGTTTTTTCAACTAAAAAAATTAAATGTCATTCATAATTTAGTTTAATATAGAGAAGCTTATAAAATAAAAAATGGCCCATACTGCTACTCTGAAATCCCTAATATTAAAAATAAGATTAACATATTTAGATAAACAGAACATTCAAATAGTACCAGTAGGTATAAAATGTTAAGTCTGGCTTTTCCTCCTGCCCCACTGCCCTATCCCCTCTCTTAGATCATAGCTCCTTAAAGGTAACTAATGTCAATAGCTTCATATTATTCTTTTTTAAATTTATATATGCATACTAGCATTTATGTGTGTTCAGTCTTTTATCAGTCAACAGTTTTATTCATTTGTTTATTCATCTAAAAATATTTGTTGAGGGCCTCTTCTGTGGCAGGCAGAATGTTTTGCCCTGGGGATGTAGCAGCACACAAAACAGAAAATGTCGCTCTTCTCATGGCACTTAGAATCTAGTTGGGAAACAGAGACAAAAAATGTAAATAACAAGAAAACAAAATAACTTCAGTTTGTTCAAAATGCTGCAAAGGAAACAGTGGTTTGATATGATCATGCAGTTAGGTAAGGTGGTTGATGAAGGCCTCTGCTTATGCAATTCCTTAAACATTACTGAAAGAAGAAAAACATGGAATGACTCAGTTAATTCTTGATTTATGCTGTTTTTATTTCTAAAGGTGAAACCTCACCTGCCATCCAACTGCCCACACCTGCAGTCCAGCGCCCAAGCCCTGTCACACTTTTCCAGCCCAGCGTCTCCAGTGCTGCTCAGGTGGCTGCCCAGGATCCAAGTCTGCCTCTCCACCCAGCACTCCCACCCCAACGATTTGCTGGGCCTTCCCAAACGGACACCCTTCGGCTGCATTCTGAAGCCACTCACACTGTGAAGCGACCCACCCCTGTCTCTCTAGAGAGCTCCAACAGGATTTCAACTAGTGCAAGTACTGCCCATGCCAGATTTGCAACTTCAACCATCCAGCCGCCTAAGGAGTATTCCAGTGTTTCTGCTTGCCCAAGAAGTGCTCGGATCCCCCAGGCTCCTCCTATTCCACACCCACATGTCTACCAGCCGCCTCCCCTGGGCCATCCAGCCACACTGTTTGGGACACCACCAAGATTCTCTTTTCATCACCCTTACTTCCTACCAGGACCTCACTACTTCCCATCAAGGTAAATTAACTTTTTTTTTTTTTTTTTTTTTACCTAAACATTCAGCTAATGAGTTTTTACCTCTGACAGCATTTAAAAAAAAAAAAAAACAAACACTGAAAAGGGCACTTCTTGAATTCTGCTGATTAGGAGCCAAGCAGTTAACATAAATAGATGAAGAGGGCCAGGTGAGAGGTGGGGGAACTAGAGTGAGTGCCTGCTCTAACTTGGCTCCAGCCGACTCTTATTATGTAAGAATATAGGCTTCAGGCTGAGTGCAGCGGCTCACACCTGTAATTCCAGCACTTTGGGAGGCCGAGGTGGTTGGGTAACTTGAGGTCAGAAGTTTGAGACCAGCCTGGCCAATATGATGAAACCCCATCTCTACTAAAAATACAAAAAATTAGTCAGATGTGGTGGCACATACCTGTGATCCCAGCTACTCGGGAGACTGAGGCAGGAGAATCATTTGAACCCAGGAGGAGGCAGAGGTTTCAGTGAGATCATACCACTGCACTCCAGCCTGGGTGACCATCTCAAAAAAACAGAAAAACAAAACAAACAAATATATATATATATATATATATATATATATATATATATATATATGGGCTTCAGTGTTGTCAAATATAATTTTTCATGCAAAATAACTGTAAGGGACCTTAAGATCATTTAGTCAAAGGTATAGAGTTATGCTGATTGTATAGAGGAGATACTTTTCAAACTTTAATGTGCATATAAATCATATGTTATTTTGTTAAAATGCAGATTCTGATTCATTGGGTCTGGGGTATAGTAGTATCCTGTATGGGGGTATAGTATGCCTGATATTCTGTGTTTCTAGCAAGCTCCCAAGTGATTGCCAATTCTGCTGGTTTATGGACCACACTTATAGCAAGGGTATAGAAGAGGGCATTTGGTCTAAGTGAAAAGTAGAAAATTTCCCATATAAATTACCAATAAAGAAATTGATTTTCATAAGGAAATATCTTTGGAAAACAATGTGTAACTTCATTTTGGAATGATAGAAATTTAACTCTCTTGGAAGTATTCTGATAGAGTGGTATTAGCCTCTACTTTTCTTTTTATTTATTTATTTTTATTTTTAAAGATGGGGTTTCACCGTGATGGCCAGGCTGGTCTTGAACTCCTGACCAGAGATGATCCACCCACCTCAGCCTCCCAAAGTGCTAGGATTACAAGTGTGAGCCACTGCGCCCGGCCCTAGCCTCTACTTTTCAATTACTGTTAAACATGTAGACAAAGATAGTTTATGTTGAGATTGGAGTATTAAAGTGTCTAACACCAATCTTTTATTCTTACTTAGCAAGTAAATCTGCTTCCCACTGGGGTATACCTACCACCTCAATAGAAACAACTTTTGAGGTATTTATTATGTTGCTTCAATTTATAATGGGATTACTTGCTTTTGGATCCTTAGCTCAGGACTGGAAGAAAGTGGAACCAGAGGATTAGATCAGGAGAAAGGGAAATGTTTTGTTATCTAGGGTTTGTTTTGTTTTGTTTTATGTAGAATCTTTTTATCTTTTGCAACCTTAGTAAATATTTTAGTTCAAGGGATCAAACCTCAAGAGACTTTTAATTTAAGGCCAGGGGAGTTGATAATCTCTTCTTATTGCTACCTGCTAGGATCTAGGATTTTACAGGAATTGCAGAATTTTACAAAATGTTTTCTAGATATAAGAAAAATATAAAGGATGTAGATGGAATTTAATAACTGAGTAAAATACGTGACCTTAGAACCTTGAGGCCTGTAACAAAAATTGTGGAAATTGTATCTGTTACATAATTCATTATGTAATATGGGAAATGTTTGGACCCTGTTTACTCACAGGATAGGTGAGGTGAAAAAAAGTCAATTACAACGGACTATGTGCCACACTCTCCCTCTAGCTGTTATTGGTTTTTTTGTTTGTTGCATTTTTCTTCTTTTTAGTGTTTTGAGAGTTTGTTCAAGGTTATACAGTGGGAAAGCTAATAGTCAAATTCAGGTTTGTTTGATTTTGAATTTCATGTTTGCCATTTTGTTGTTGTTGAGACAGTCTTCTCTGTCACCAGGCTGGAGTTCAGTAGTGTGATCTTGGCTCACTGCAACCTCTGCCTCTTGGGTTCAAGCAATTCCCCTGCCTCAGCCTCCTGAGTGGCTGGGACTACAGGCGCGTGCCACAACATCCGGCTAACTCTTTGTATTTTAATAGAGACGAGGTTTCACAATGTGGGCCAGGATGGTCTTGATCTCCTGATTTCATGATCTGCCTGCCTTGGCCTCCCAAAGTGCTGGGATTACAGGCATGAGCCGCTGTACCCAGCCATATTTGTCTTTTTTTCTACATCAATAAGACTTCTCATTATAATGGTTCCTCTTGATTGGCAGCTGTTAGTTGCTAGCAGAGAATCATCTGGAAAAAATATACTTTCGAATAAAAAATTTAAATGGTCAAGTGAAGGTTGGGGCAGGTAATGTTTCCTTAAATATTACACAGATTAAATCATAGAAGTCTACCTTACTTATTCATGACAAGACTTGTAAGATTTGGTTATTAATGTATAAATTGTCTGACACACTTTTAAGTTAAGGAACATTTTAAAAGGAAGCTCTTGAGAGTAAATTCTTTTTTTTTTTTTTTTTCTGAGACAGAGTCTCACTCTGTCGCCCAGGCTGGAATGTGTAGTGCAGTGGCGTGATCTTGACTCACAGCAACCTCCTGGGGACAAGTAGTTCTCCTGTCTCAGTCTCCCGAGTAGCTGGGACTACAGGTGCAGAGGAGATTTTTGTATTTGTATCTGGTTAATTTTTGTATTTTTAGTGGAGATAGGGTTTCACCATATTGGTCAGGCTGGTCTTGAACTCATGACCTCAGGTGCCGCCTCAGCCTCCCAAAGTGCTGGGATTACAGGCATAAGCCACTGTGTTCAGCCGAAAGTAAGTTCTCAGAAGTCAGAAACTATCTTTTTTTTGTTGTTATTACTGTTATTGCTAATTAACAGTAATGCTTTGGAAGAACCAAATGAAGTGAATAAGTAGTAGTTATAGTGAATTTTTATTTCATTTAGGAATGTCAGAGCAGTATGTCAACTATGAACTTAAGCTATGCATAGTTTTTCAAAAAAGAAGACCAGTCTTATCAATTGTAATATTTTTCAATTGTTTTTCTGATTTCTACCTGTATGTGTCTCATGATAATTTTTCAAGGAAATAGATAATCTATTTATGATGTTCTAGGTATATATTTCAGTAAACTCTAAATGCCAAAATTAGTTGATTCTTTCTCGGTTTTTCTTTTCACCTTACTGAGAATGGAATCTTCTGTAAAGAATATTTCTGGGTAGGTGCAGTGGCTGATGCCTGTAATCCCAGCACTTTGGAAGGCCAAGGAGGGCGGATCACCTGAGGTCAGGTGTTCCAGACCAGCCTGGCCAACATGATGAAACCCTGTCTCTACTAAAATACAAAAATTAGCCAGGCATGGTGGTGGGCACCTGTGCAGGAGAATCACTTGAACTTGGGAGGTGGAGGTTGCAGTGAACCAAGATCACACCACTGCACTCCAGCCTAGGCGACAGGAGTGAAATTCCGTCTAAAAAAAAAATGCCAGGCATGGTGGCTCATGCTTGTAGTCCCAGCACTTTGGAAGGCCAAGGCTGGTGGATCATGAGGCCAGGAGTTTGAGAAGATCTGTCTTTTGTATATTTAGTAGAGACAGGTGAAACCCTGTCTCTACTAAATATACAAAAATTAGCCAGGTGTGGTGATGTACACCTGTAGTCTCAGCTACTCAGGAGGCTAAGGCAGGAAAATCCCTTGAACCTGGGAGACGGAGGTTGCAGTAAGCTGAAATCACGCCACTGGACTCCAGCCTGACAACAGAGCAAGACTCTGTCTCAAAAAAAAATTTTCCTCCCTAATTTAGTTATTTATATGTGGAATTATCTAACTATTTCAATGTTATAATTGTAATGGACATTTAAGATATACATATAAATATGTATTTTGTGTGCGTGTATATATATATATATATATATATATATATATATATATATGGTTATTCATTATTTTAAAATTTCAGCTGGGCATGGTGGCTCACACCTGTCATCCAGACACTTTGGGAGGCCAAGGAGGGAGGATCTCTTGATCCCAGGAGTTGGAGACCAGTCTGGGCAATTTAGTGAGACCTTGTCTCTCAAAAAAACCTTTTTTTTTTCATTAGCTGGGCATGGTGGTGTGTGCTTGTAGTCCCAGCTACTTGAAAGCTAAGGTGGGAGGATCACTTAAGCCTGGGAGGTGAAGACTGCAGTGAGCCAAGATCACGCCACTGCACTCCAGTCTGGGCATCAGAGTGAGACCATGTCTCCAAAAAAAACCCCTAAATTTTTCTTTTTGCCAAACAGTTCATTTTGCCCTGTGTATCTAGAGTAAAAATCAAGTAGGCTAGGTAGTTTAATCAAGGGTCACTTTATAAAACAGATGTACATTCAGAAGTGTTGCTCCCCGTCTCTGGGGTTAACATCTTATTCCTGTCTTCAGATCTTAACCGTTATCATACCGTGTTTATCAAAATGCTGTCTTTCTGTGTACTACATTAATTCTTCAGACTAGTTCTTTTCTCCCTATCTCTCTTTCTTCTTCTTGCATATATTGGGCTTTCGCATTCAAGGGGGATACATAGGATCTTCATTCTATTGGCCATTGAATAAAAAACTATGTGTTTAAAATCTGTTGTAATTAGGGATAAAGAAAGATACGAAGACAAGATTTACTAGCTTGAAATACATAGAAAATACACTCAGATATACGGTAGGGAAAATAAGTTCAAATAATTCCTAGAATTGTAGAAATAGCATCTAAATTGCAACATTTTAGGCAAGTGAATCAAAGGTTTAAAGCAATTATTTTTAACCTTTGTTTCGGTCAGAGATGCATTTGAGAATTTGATTGAAGATGGACTCTTTCCATACTAATGCATATCTACATACATATATAAACTTTTGCCTAAACTTTT